CTGCCCCATCTCCTCTCTCAAAAGTGGTTCCCCCCTCACTGAGGCTGCCCACCCCCTCTCCCCTCTCTGAGGTGGTTTCCCCCTCACAGAAGTGCCCGTGCCTCTATCCCCTCTCTGAGGTAATTTCCTCCTCACAGAGGTGCCACCTGTCTATCCCCTCTTTGAGGTGGTTCCCCGCTCACTGAGGCTGCCCACCCCCTCTCCCTTCTCTGAGGTGGTTTCCCCCTCACAGAAGTGCCCATACCTCTATCCCCTCTCTGAGATGGTTCCCCCACACAGAAGTGCCTGCCCCTCTATCCCCTGTCTGGGGTGGTTCCTCCTCACGGAGGTGCCTGCCCCTCTATCCCCTCTCTGAGGTGGTTTCCCCCTCACAGAGGTGCCACCTGTCTATCCCCTCTCTGAGGTGGTTTCCCCCTCACAGAGGTGCCACCTGTCTATCCCCTCTCTGAGGTGGTTCCCTGCTCACTGAGGCTGCCCGCCCCTCTCTCCCTTCTCTGAGGTGGTTTCCCCCTCACAGAAGTGCCCATGCCTCTATCCCCTCTCTGAGATGGTTCCTCCTCACAGAAGTGCCTGCCCCTCTATCCCCTGTCTGGGGTGGTTCCCCCCTCACGGGGGTGCCTGCCCCTTTATCCCCTCTCTGAGGTGGTTCCCCCCTCACAGAGGTGCCTGCCCCTCTCTCCCTTCTCTGAGGCAGTTTCCCCCGCACAGAGGTGCCAGCCCCCTCTCTTTTCTCTGAGGCAGTTTCCCCATCATAGAGGCTGCCTGCCCCGCTCTCAGGCAACACCTGCTTTTCCTGTGTCGTGGGCTCTAATGTAAGCCCAGCAGATAGGCTGCTTTGGTCAGGAAACTTGCTGAGTTAGCAAATGGCATCACCCTCGACCCTAGATCTGGGACCAGTCTGCACTGGTCACAGCCCTAGTGACTTGTGCTTCCTTGGCCACTGGGGAGCTGCACAAGCTAGGGAAGAAAGAAGAACCAACTGGATGAAGGAAAGTCCCAACACTTCTTCATCCTGGAAAGGGTGGAATTAGTCTATACATCACCTGTGTTGGTACATCCCTCCCGCACAGAAACCTTGCATTTTGGAGTGACCCCTGAAAAAGGAGTCCAGCCACTCTCATCTCTGAGGAGGCGGGGGACCCATCAAGTGACACAAACTTCTGCTGTGGGGAGCCTCACCAGGGAGGGGACAGAGCGGGTTGGGATTTGTGTGCACAGGGATGGCAGGTTCGGGCCCATAGATGACAGGATTAGGAAGGCTGGGGGGAGCCCCAAATCTAACAGCAATCACTCTACACGCCTTCAAAATGAGTTTGCCTTGGGGCCAACCTCTCCAGAATAGAAACTGTAATAAAAATAATGTTCTTATCACACGGAGAGTCTGTCTGCACTAGAAACTGTCCCTCTGCTAATGGGCCCCAAAGTTCCTGAGGGGGAGGGGCAAAGGGGACATTTGTTTTCCCCCCCCCCCCATGACATTCAAGGGCCCCCAGGTTATTATCAGGAAGGCCATAATGTGTACAGAGTTATCCAGTATTAAGCAGTAGAATAGCTGCAGACTGGAGAGTCTTCATCCTTTACATAAATTATAAATCACAGACAAATATTGACATCGTAAGCAAATTTTTCTTTTAAAATTCTTAAAATCCAAGTTTTTCCAGGGATGTAACTAGCTCTTGGACATCTGGAAAGTTGTTTGTTTTTTAAATAGTAACATACAGGGGCCATAAAATACCATCCCCTACTTCCTCACCAGCATAACATACAGTGCCCTATGCTCATAGCATACAGTCAGAGGCTTTTGACACCAGAAACTGTCTCTGCTAATGCCCATAACATACTGTGAGGGGCAACAGTGGGCAGCGGCGGATCCAGGCACCAGCACTCCAAGGGGTGCGCCCTGCCGGTCCCTACGAGGGCGGCAATGAGGCAGCCTTCGGCGGCATGCCTGCGGGAGGTCCGCCAGTCCCACGGATTCGGTGGCAATTTGGCGGCGGGTACGCCAAATCCGCGGGACCAGGGACCTCCCGCAGGCATGCCGCCGAAGGCAGCCTGCCTGCTGTGCTTGGGGCAGCAAAAAAGCTAGAGCTGCCCCTGACAGTGTGGACATATTCTGGCTCATTTTAAAACTGGTTCAGTAAAAATAGATATGGTTGCCTTAAACCAAGTCTATACTATGGCGCTAACCAATTTTAAAACCAGTTTAATTTTACTGAACAAGTTTTAAAACTGGCTTTAAATTTTACCCAGGCCCCATAGCTACAATATTCAAAGGAACCTTAGAGACATGGGAGACCAGCTCCCTTAGGCTATGTCTACACTACAAAATTAGGTGGGATTTATAGAAGCCGGTTTTATAGAAACCGGTTGTATGCAGCCGAT